AGCCACGATCAAAAAAAGAACCTTGACATCATCTTTCAAGAAATTATCAAGGAAAACTGCCCTGATATTCTAGAACCAGAGGGTAAAATAGAAATGGAAAAAATCCATTGATCACCTCCTGAGAGAGATTCTCAAAGGAAAACTCCTAGGAATATTGTAGCCAAATTCCAGAGTTGCCAGGTCAAGGAGAAAATATTGCAAACATCCGGAAAGAAACAATTCAAGCATTGTGGAAACACAATCAGGATTTAGCAGCTTCTACATTAAGGGACTGGAGGGCTTGGAATATGATATTCCAGAAGGCAAAGGAGATAGGATTAGAGCCAAGAATCACCTACCCAGCAAAACTGAGTATAATCCTTCAGGGGGAAAAATGGTCATTCAGTGAAATAGAGGACTTTCAAGCATTCTTAATGAAAATATCAGAGCTGAATATAAAATTTGACTTTCAAATACAAAACTCAAGAGAAGCATGAAGAGGGAAACAGGAAAGAGAAATCATAAGGGACTTATTAAGGTTGAGCTGTTTACATTTCTGAATGGAAAGATGATATTTGTAACTCATGAAACCTTTGTCAGTATTAGGGTAGTTGGAGGGAAAAACTTATATGTATAGATAGATAGATAGATAGATAGAGGACACAGGGTGAGTTGAAGATGAAGGGGTGATATCTGGAGAATAAAATTAAGAGGTGAGAGAGGATTATATGAGGAGAAGAAGAAAAGGAGAGGTAGAATGGGGTAAATTATCTCACATAAAACAGATAAGAAAAGGCTTCTACAGTGGAGGGGAAGTGGGGGAAGGTGAGAGGGAATGAGTGAATCTTATTCTCATTGGATTTGGCTTAAGGAGGGAATAACATACACACTCAATTGGGTATGGAAATCTATCTTACCCTATAGGAAAATAGAGGGGAAGGGGACAAAAGAGCAGGGGAATGATAGAGGGGAGGGCAGCTTAGGGGAGGGGGTAATCAGAAGCAAACACTTGTAAAGAGGTACAGGGTCTAAGGAGAGAATTGAATAAATAGGGGGCAGAATAGGATGAAAAGAAACGCAATTAGTTTTCCACAGCATGACTACTATGGAAGTGTTTTGCATGACTACACATGTATAACCTGTGACGAGTTGCTTGCTTTCTCAATGAGGGTGGGTGGGGAGGGAAGAAGGGAGAAAATTTGGAACCCAAAGTTTTAAAAACAAATGTTGAAAAAAATGTTTTCACATGCAACTGGGAAATAAGATATACAGGCAATGCAGTATAGAAATCTATCCTGCCCTACAGGAAAGTAGAAGAGGAAGAGGATAAGAGAAGGTCAGGGAGATAAAAGGGAGGGCAGATTAGGGGAAAGTGTATTCAGAATGCATGCTGTCTTGGGGTTGGGGGGAGGGATGAGATGGAGAGAAAATTTGGAACTCAAAATCTTGTGGATGTGAATGTTGAAAATAAAATTAAATAAATTAATGATTTTTTTAAAAAAAGAAGAAAGAAGAAAAAAAAACTATTTAGTACTCACTAAGAAATAGAGTGGTGAATCAGTGGAATAGGTTAGGTACACAAGACACAATAGTCAATGCCTACAGTAATCTACTGTTTGATAAACCCAAAGTCTCCAGCTTCTGGGATAAGAACTCACTATTTGACAAAACCTACTGGGAAATCTCAAAAACAGTATGGCAGGGGCAGCTAGGTGGCACAGTGGATAGAGCACCAGCCCCAGAGTCAGGAGAACTTGAGTTCAAATCAGGCCTCAGACACATAACACTTACTAGCTGTGTGACCCTGGGCAAGTCACTTAACCCCATTGCCTAGCAAAAAACAAAAACAAAAAAACAGTATGGCAGAAACTAGGCATAGATCAACAACTTACATTGTGTAATAAAATTAGGTCAAAATGGGTTCATGATCTAGACATAAAAGGTGATAACATAAGAAAAATTAATAGAGCAAGGAATAATTTACCTGTCAGATTTATGGAGAAAGGAAGAATTTATGACCAAACAAGAGATAGTGAGTGTTATAAGATGTAAAATAGATAGTTTTGATGACATTAAATTTAAAAGTTTTGGCACAAACAAAACCAATGCAACCAAGATTAGAAGGAAAGCAGAAAGCTGGGAAACAATTTTTACAGCAAGTATCTCTGATAAAGGCCTCATTTTTTAAATATATAGATAACTAAATCAAATTTATAAGAATATAACATTCCCCAATTGATAAATGGTCAAAGGATATGAAAAGGCAGTTTTCAGATGAAGAAATCAAAGCTATATCCATATGAAAAAATGCTCTAAGTCACTATTGTTTAGAGAAATGAAAATTAAAGCAACTCTGAAGTACTGCTTTACATTTATCAGATTGGCTAATACAACAAAAAGGAAAAATAACAAATGTTGGAGAGGATGTGAGAAAATTGGGGCACTAATGCACTGTTGTTTGGTGGTGAACTGATCTAAATATTCTGGAGAGCAATTTGGAACTATGCCCAAAAAGTAATCAAAGTGTGATACCCTTTGATCCAGCAATACCAATTCTAGGTCTGTATCCCAATGAGATTCATAAAAAGGGAAAAGGACCTTCATGTACAAAAATTATTTAAACCAACTCTTTTTGTGGTGGCAAGAATTAGAAATTGAGGGGATGCCCATCAATTGAAGAATGGCTGAACAAGTTGTGGCATATGAATGTAATGGAATACTATTGTGCTATAAGAAATAATGAGCAAGAGGGTTTCAAAACACCTGGAAAGACTTACATGAACTGATGTTGAGTGAAGTGAGCAGAATCAGGAGAACATTGTACACAATAACAGCAACATTGTGCTGTGACCAACTTTGATAGACTGAGCTCTTCTCAGCAATACAATGATCCAAGACAATTCCAAAAGACTCCTGATGGAAAATTCTATCCTACACCAGAGGAAGAACTATGGAGTCTGAATGCAGATTGCAGCATAGTATTTTCATTTTTTGTTTTTTTCACTTTGTTTTGTTTCTTCTTTCACAACATGCCTAATAGGGAAATATGTTTTACGTGACTGCACATATGTAAACTATATCAAATTGCTTACTGCCTAGAAAAGAGGGAGGAAAGGGAGGGAGAGAGAAAATTTGGAATTCAAAATTTTATCAAATAAACTGAATGGCAAAAATTGTCTTTCTACGTAATTGGAAAAAATAAAATACTAGTAAAACAGTATTTATCTAAATCAAGATGATACAATATCTATTTCTATAATTATGTATTTTTCTTGTTTTTGTTAGTAATGTGACTTTTTGTATTTGTAATTTTTCTTAATACTGAGCCAGTCTGGCATTCTTAGTATAAACACAATCAGGCTACAGTAAAATCTTTGTAAAATATTCTCGTAGCTTCTTTGTCAATATTGTATTCAGTATTTTTGTATTGATGTTCATCTGAGGGAATGGTCTATCATATTCTTTCTTTGACTTTTCTTGCCCTAGTTTTTGATACTTAAAATCATATTTTTGTCACAGGAGATTATGTTAAGAGACAATTTATATAAAACCCAAGTTAGTTGTTTTTTTTTTAAAAATTTGCTAGAATTCCCTTGTAAATCCATTTGCTCCTTGGGTTCCTTCTCTCCCTCCCTCAGCCTTTTGCAAGTTCATTTATGGTTTGTTCGATCTATTTTATTCTGTTAATTAGGGTACTTTATGTTTTTGTAAATAGTCATCCATTTGTCAGTTTTGTTGGCATAAAAATGTGCAAAAGAGTTTTTAATAACTTCCTTTATTTCATCTGTCTCAGGTGTCTCCCCACTCCAATCCATCCTCCATTCAGCAACCAAAGTGATTATCCTAAAGCACAGATCTGAGTGTACCACCCCTGCCTCACCCTCTCCCCCTACACACACACACACACACACACACACACACACACACACACACACACACACACACACACACTCGTAAATTCCATTGGCTCCCCAGTGCCTCCAGGATCAAGCACAAAATCCTCAGTTTGTCATTCAATGCCCTTCCTTAAACACCCCCACCTACCTTCCCAGTCTTCTTACACCTTACTCCCTTCCATATACTCTTCAATGCACTGACACTGGCCTCCTGGCTGTTCCACCACCAGGGCACTCCATTTCTGGCTTTGGGCAGTTTCTCTGACTCTCCTCCCTGCCTGGAATGCTCTCCCCTCTCATCTCTGCTTCTTGGCTTCCCTGGCTTCTTTCATTCTATATTTTACAGGAAGCTTTTCCCAACCCTTCTGAATTCTAATGCCTTCCCTCTGTTCATTATTTCCTACCTGTAGGCAGCTCGTTTGTACATATTTGTTTGTTTATTATCTCCCCCAATTAGATTGTGAGCACTTTGAGGTCAGGGACTGTCTTTTGCCTCTTTTTCTATCCCCACTGCTTGGCAGAGTACCTGGCACACAGTAGGCACTTATTAAATGTTAATTGGCTGACTGATCTTCATCCTTTTTTACCACTAAAAAAAAAATCCTGGCAATTTGGTTGTCCTTTAAAAAGCAATCAATTAGCTGTTTGTTTTGCCTAAATATTATTCATTTTTTTTATTTCCAGAATTTTCCTTTATGTTGTTTTTTTTTTCTATTTGTTTCTTTTCCAGGTTTTTTCTTTTATTCGTGAATATATTTGGAAAGATAAATTGTATCTAAGGACTGCTTTGTCTGAATCCTGAAAGTTTCGGTATGTTGTGTCGTTTTATCAATTTATTCGATGAGATGATCTCTCTCTTTTTTTTTTTTTTCTTCTGGTTTGTATTATGTCCTTTCTGACTTCCAGCTCTCGCCCAGTGTGGAAGGAGTAGAGACATTGATTGACTGCCTGAATGATTAGTTCTGCGGAGGCGGCACACCCACCCCCACTCCCCACCCGCCCCTCAAGACCCGGGTTCCATTGGCTGAATCAATCCCCACCTCCCAATGTGACGTCACAGGACTCCTCCTTTCTGCGGCTTTCACCTGGGCTAGGGTGTTACGCAGTCTGTAAAAAAGGGCTGCGGACCGCTCTAGCTCTGCAGAGCTGCCTCCACTGCCCCCGGACCCCAGGCCTGCCTGATCGCCCGTGGGAGGCCCCTATGTATGGGAGGTAAGTAAGACCGCGAGGGGCGTCCTTTTACTCCCACCCTCCCTTCCCCAGACGCCCTGGTGGGAGGGGGACGTGGATGTGAGGGCTGCCCACACCCTAAGACCTTCGTTCAGGGCCTTTTGGACGTTACTTATGGATGTACCCAGGCCTCTGTCTGTCGGGAGGGATGGATGTCCCCCGGGAACTCTCCCATCTTCGGCGGCCCCCTCCCCAACATAGCTCCACCGTGCCCCGCCCCCCCCAGCCCCTCTGTGGAGCGCGGCCCAGAATGTGGGACTGGTGGGTGGTGGTGGAGAAAGAAGAGCTGGTCTACGAAATACCTCTTATTGTGTACCTTTTTGTTTTCATTCATTCATTCATTCATTCATTCATTCATTCATTCATTCATTATTCTGGATTCCCCAAATGTCCGACGATCAAATAAACATTTCCATGTACATCATACAACAGGAAAAGAGGATTGCCCATGCACCTGTTGATCTTTGTTATCTATAGCTTAGATTTTTAAAAAATATTTAATAAATTCAGTCTGTATTTTTCAAAGGTGCCAATGTTTCTTTCTGGCATTCTTTCTGTTCTCATTTGTTATTTATTTATTTTTTTTTAAGATGCCTTAGTGGCAGCCTTTTTTTTTTCCCGTTTTCCTCCACCTCTTATCTTCTCTACCTTCCACACCCCACCTCACTATAAAAAGAAAAAAAGAAAAACATAAGCGTTTGTAACAAATCTGCGTAGTCAAGCAAAACCAATCTCTACTGTATCTGTGTCTGAAAATGTGTCGTATTCTGCATCTAGATTCCCTCACTGGTCAAGATGTGGGTCCCATATTTCATCATCAGTCTTAGGATCTTAATTGGTCATTGCATTGATCAGAGTTCTGAAGCCTTTCACAGGGACAAAACCCACCTCTTTTAGGCTCCCTGAACTGGATGCACAGCTAATATAGCTTTGTGAGGCAAGCCAGACATGGACACCTTCCCATCTTAAGTACTTAAAAATGCACAAAAGAATGGTTTCTGTATAGGGCATTTAATCAATTATTTGGACTGGGAAGAATAATTCTCTTATTTTAAAATTTTTTAAAATTTATTTTTACAAAGCATTTATTATCACTTCCAGTGGCACCCCCTCACTCCTACAATAATAACAATGACAAAAACCTCTCAATAAATATGTATATTCTGGCAAAACCAGTTCCCATCTTGACTATGTCCAAATATGCAGGTGTCATTCTGGGTTTTCAGTCCATCACCTCTCTGGCAGGAGATGGGTAGCATGATTCACCAACAGTCTTCTGGAGCGCATTAATTAGGGTTCTAAAAGCTTTTAAAAGTTATTTTTTCTCTCTATAATGTTGTTGTCATTGTGTAAGTTGTTCTAGTCCTGCTCACTTCAATCTGTATCAGATCTTAAGAGTTATTCCCAGTTTCCTCTGAAACTGTCCATTTCTTATGGCACAATAAAATATTATGCTGCCATTACATTCATAGACCACAATTTATTTAGTTATTTCACCATAGGTGGAAACTCCCTTAGTTTCCACTTTTGGGCTACTTCAAAAAATCACTCCTATAAATATTTTTGTATATATAAATCCTTTTCCTTTGTTCCCTGCGTGGTCTCAGCCCATTGTGGTACAGTTAGGCCACAATTTAGTAACTTTTAGGGCACAATTATAACTTGCTTCCCTGTATGTCTGGACCAGTTTGTATCTCCAGTAGCAATGATTTCTGTGTGCCTATTTTCCTACAGCTTCTGCAACATTTGTCATTTTGTTTATTAATAATCAATAAACATTTATTACACACCTACTATGTGCCAGCCACTGTGCTAAGCACAAGGGGTACACATACCAAAAAAAAAAAAGTCCCTTTCTCAAAGGGTTTACAATCTTTTTTTTTTTTTTTTTTTGGCTAGGCAGTGGGGTTAAGTGACTTGCCCAGGATCACACAGTTAGTAAGTCTGTTATGTGTCTGAGGCGGGATTTGACTTCAAGTCCTCCTGACTCCAGGGCCAGTGCTCTAGCCACTGCACCACCTAGCTGCTCCCTCAGGGGGTTTATAATCTAATGGAGGAAGATAACACACAGAAGAAAGCTGAGAAGTGTGTGTGTGTGGGGGGGGGTTCATTTTTTATTTTTGCCAGCCACTCTTAATGGGTGGAAAGTGAAACCTCGAAGTTGCTTTAATTTGCATTTCTCTAATTGTTGGTAACTTGGAGCATTTTATCATGGTTTTTGATTGCTGGGATTTCTTCCTTTGAAGTTGACCATTTAACTATTGGTGCACGGCTCTTAGTCTGATAAATTTAAAGCAATTCCATATGTGTGTATGTGTATATATATGTATATACACACATACATACATATATGTATATACATGTACAAGTATACATACATATTATACAGATCCTTTAGTAGACAAATTTGCTGCAAATTTTTCCCTGTTGACTTGTTTCCCTTCCAATTTTAATTGTACAAGATTTGTTTGTCCAAAAACTTTTTCAATTTTGTGCAACTGAAATTGTTCATTTTTTTTCTCTGATAATCTGTATACCTTGTTTGCTCACAACCTCTTCCCTTATCTATAGATATGAAAGGTAATTTTTTTCCCTTGTTCCTCCAATTTCTCTATAATCTTTAATGTGTGCTCTTGGCCATAGTGGATGACACCTCAGATTCTTTTTTAAAATGCTGCACAATGTGAATGATGCAACATGGACAGGGCTGTATTTTAATGGGACAAAATGCATATAATTATTGATAGCAAAAAAAAATACCCCCCCATTCAGTTCTGGGGTTAAAAATCTCTAGATTTCTTTAATGACAGAGGAGGACACTTACCTCGACCTCAGAATCCTTGGGCGTTCCACACCATAAATTCATCCTCTGATGCTATACAGTGGACACCCTCTCCTAGCACCCTGATAGAAATGAAATGAAGTGAACACCTCTATTGTACTCTATGTCTCTTTTTGTTTTAAGAATGCTGTAGTCCCCAAGAATACTCTCAGGCTCTTGGATAGAACAGTTGAAAAGAATGGTGAAAGATAGTTGTACCTCCCTCAAAGAGCTAGCCTGTCGGAGGATTATTGGTAATATATAGAAATGCTGAATATTTGTCTGGTTTTATTATATATTATGCTATACTACTGTTGTTTTTATTAATTTTTAGTTGATTTTTAAAAATAAACCATCATATCATCCGCATAAACTGATACTTTGCTTATTATTCTTACATACCTATTTCAAAATGTTTTTATTGTCTTATTTCTATGCCTTGAATTTGTAGTAAAATATCAAATAGCAATGATGATAATGGACATCTATATTTCACTCCTGATCTTATTGGAAAGGTTTCTAGCTAATCCCCATTAAAGATATTGCTTGCTTTTAGCTTTAGATACACTTTTTATCATTTTAAGGAAGTCTCCAATTATTCCTATGCTTTTCAGTTTTTTTTTTTTAAAACAGAAATTGGTATTGTATTTTGTCAAAACCTTTTTCTGTATCTATTGAAATAATCATATGATGTGAGTTTGTTACTAATATGGTGGATTATGTTTATAGTTTCCCTTATACTGAACTAGACCTACATTCCTGGCATAAATGCAGCCTGTTCATAGCATATATTACTGTAGCCTCCTTGCTAATATTTTATTAAAAGTTTTCTTATCAATAATCATTATCAAGATTGGTTATAGTTTTTTCTTTTTGACTCCCTATATTTAGTTACCAAGACCATATTTGTGTCATAGAAGGGATTTTGTAGGACCTTATCTTTACCTTTTTTTCCCCAAACAGATTCTGTAGTATTAGAATTAATTATCGTTTAAATATTTGAGAGAAATCACTTTTTTGCTAAATTAAAAAAAATTTTACATTCTTTTTTTTATTTTGACTTCCAAATACTCTCCCTCCTTTCATCCTCTCTACTCATTGAGAAGGCAAGCAATATGATATCCATGATATATAACATTTCCGTATTAGCCATTTGGAAAATAAAAGCAAGAAAAAGAAAGAAAATGAAAAATATGCTTCAATCTGCACTCAGATTTGATCGGTTCTCTCTCTGGAAGTGATCAAGAGTGATTTAGAGCATTTTTTTTCGTATACTTATTGATAGCTTTGATTTCTTCTGAATACTCCTTGTTCCTATTTGGGAAATAGTTTGTATTTTTATCAGTTTGCCTTTGTTTCTTTATCCTTAGCTCTGACAGGTAAATTTTCCCATGCTTCCCTAATTTTTCTAAATCATTTACCCATTTTGATGTTATCTTGCTATGCAGTGTGAGATGTTGGTCTCTGCCTAGTTTCTGCCAAACTACTTTCCAGTTTTCCCAGCAAATTTTTTCAGATACTGAGTTTTTGCCCAAAAGCTTAGATCTTTGGATTGCTCAAACAGTAGATTCCTATGGTCATTTACTACTCTGTATTGTGTACTTAATCTATTCAGCTGACCCACCACTCTATTTCTTAGCTATTGCCAGATTGTTTTGATGTTAACTGTTTTGTAACATAGTTTGGAATTTGGTACTGCTCTGCAGCCTTCTTTCACATTTTTTTCATTGTTTTCCTTGGTATTCTTGACTCTTGTTCTTCCAGATGAATTTTGTTAATATTTTTTCTAGCTCTATAAAATAATTCTTTAGTGTGGCACTGAATAAGTAAGTTAATTTAGATAGAATTGTCATTTTTATTATATTGGCTTGGCCTATGCACAAGCAATTAATATTTCTCCAGTTGTTTAGATCTGTCTTTATTTATGTGAAAAGTGTTTTGTAATTGTGTTCATATAGTTCCTGGGTTTGTCTTGCAGGTAGAATCCCAAGTATTTTATATTGAATTGTTATTTTAAATGGAAGTTTTCTTTCTAGCTCTTTCTACTATTCTATTTTTGGGGGTGCAAAATATAGAAATAAAGTTAATTTATGTGAATTTATTTTATATTCTAAAACCTTGTTGAACTTGTTTCACTGTATGAAATAATAGGAGGAAAGTG